GTACATCCATATATATATATTTATATATATATATATATATAAAATTATAAATAACATCTATTATAATCGCATATTGTAATAGCGACAAATTTGATACCACTTTTGTCATGAAGAAATATGAAGAATTTATCTTTAATCTTTCCAGATGTTTGCAGTATATCTCTTGCGCCTCTTACATATGTTTCTGTCTATTTTCCATTACTCATTCATCCGATAATACTTTTGAAGTGAATGATAATACTTTTTGAAGTCACTTATTTATCTCAACTATTTACCGAACTTCTCATTCCTGAATTTCTTTCAATTGTATGCGGGTTATCGCCGTGGTGTCGTGATCCATTGCTAATGCCAATATTTCGTGAACCTTGCTATTCTCCTCATCAAAGTAGTCAATTATATATTAACTTTTTCTCTAGAAAATGCAAAATGAAAATTTTTTGTATATATGTGTGTGTATATACAGGTACACGCATACACATGTATAAAAATTTTTCACGTTTCCGTTCTAAAGAAAAAAATTACATGATCGCTACCCAAAGTGAGGAGCGTACTGATATTATATCAGTGTGCTCCTCGCTTTGATGAAGTGACTGGCAAGATTTCGAGAAATGTTGGCATTAGCAATGGATCACAACACGTTGATAACCCGTAAATCCTTTGATATCTCTAAAAAAAATACCTATGAAAACCTCAAAAATATTATTCATATATATATATTGTATAAGAGGGAAAGTTTGAAGAAATGGAATGTTCGATAAGAAATTTAATTATGTACATATTTAATTTTTTACGTAATATGTACAGAAATTCCTTTCTCCTCTTCTTTATTTTTCTAAGCCAATTTTTAGCACAGAAGAATTATATATTACGAATTGAAAATAATATCTGAAAAGCAAATTGATCTTTAAATATACAAAAGATTAGATATTATTCAAACATGTTTAAAAAAATATTGGGTTTACGATGAATTGCAATAATTTCGATAATACACATACGGTTTTCTGAGAGTCATACAAAGCTGGCGATATTATGCAATATCAAAGGTTATCAAATTGAATATTTCCACGCTTAGCGTAAATACTATCTTTTGCATACGTAAAATACTAATGTTATACCATTTTCTTATCGTCCTGTCATCGCATTTTCGCGCAGCCGCTGAATCCTTAAAGAACTTCACACATCACGCGCAACCCATAAACGCGTGGCAATTGAATCCATTTACCGCGGAATGGTAACAATTCTATTATATATTTGACATCATTCGCACGTCGGTTGTGCCAAGTGTCAACCGAACATTATGGCAACGCGATTAAACGAACTATTTATATACGTCACTATTATCAATGTTACAAATCACTGATCTCTGAATAGACAATTTAGAAATTTATTTTTAGATTTATTTGCTATTATCGGCATTCATTTGTTTCATTGCTTTATTTTGTTACGCATTTTTTTTTTTAATAAGAAAAGGGAACTAGTTTTATTTAGTTTGAAAGCGTTATTAAAAATTATCAGGCATTCTAAAACACTTTCTTATTCGTCGCATATATTTTACTTGTTTTTTAGTTTAAAATATTAAAATGTATTATATTAATCATTTTGTTATCGTAGAATTTGCTGTTTTTCATGATTGAGCGAATCTTTGAAAGAACACAATATGAACAAGACATGCATTCATGACATTGAAAGCAAATCGCTAAAATAAAGAAATTACAGTCGTAAATTATTTTTCAAAGCGCTCTCATAGAGCTCATCATTTCTTTCATCATAAAGAACGTCATTCACGACTGACGATGAATGATATCTTTTTACATTAGTTTTGGTTCAATTTCTATAATTATCGTGATAATTACCATATTTTGATTTTAACGCGACGACATTTGCTTATCTAAGAAATTAACTCTGATTTGAACTGCTCAAGTTGCACTGGAAATTTCACGAGAATCTGAGAAAGCGTTCTTAGATACTTAATCATCCTGAACCGATTTGTACGACGCAATAATTTGCATATTTATAAATCGCAGGGATTTGATATTTTGATAGATAAAAATTTGCAATAATTCATTTTTTAATAATACTTTTATCGCAGCGTATTGAACGCAAATCGCGCTATACCGATTTATATGACGCAATAATTTTTACGTAAATTGCAGAGATGTGGTATCAGATAAAAATTTACAACAATTTATTCCGTTTACTCTATATATACTCATGTTTACAATAGTTTGAAATTACGGAATATGGAGAGGGAAGGGTGCGATAGACAGCAGCGATGTGATTTGATGTTTATGCTTGTGACTACCACCACCACCATCGTCGGTCCATCAAGCGATACGGGGATCAAGGGTGAATTGTCTTCGACTTTATAAGTTAACTCGCAGTTCTATGCAGGGTAAGACAGACGGCAGTTGCATTTCCACCAGTAACCACACAACTACGAAATGTCCGTCGTGGCAGCTGTAAGTTGTTACTTATTATTAACTTCGTTTCTATAAAATTTGGAATTCAAGATTTAATAAGATAATATTGCGAAGAACAAGACTCTCGGGAAATTTTATTATTATTTTATAAATTATTTCTTAATTTGTAAATTTAACAGATGATACTTATATAGTTGTCCAAATTATTATATCATTTTTAACATTTATCAATTGTATTATGTCTTTCTGAATTTATTTTTTACACAATTTATATAAAAAACCGATTAATTTAGTAGACATTATTTTTGAACGAATACAACTTTTTATTTGAATTCGCGATTAAAATGTTATGCAGACACATTGTGAATTTTATTTTCTTTCGTGTGAAATTCGTTCTATGAATATCGTGAAATGTACTTGATAATTTTTCGTGTCTCAAAATACATTCTGTCAAAAAAGTACCGAGAATTGGTCAATAAAACACAAAATAGTTATTATTCATTCAAATTTATTGTATCGCCTTCAAAGTAGGCTCCTTTCGAAATAATACATTTATGCCAACGAATAATCCAATCATCAAAACATTTTTTAAACGCATTTTCCGGAATCGACTTCAGTTCTTGACGTGGTTTTTTCGGTTTTGGCTCAGTTGGAAGGCGCCATTCATATGCACGTGTTTTTGATAAAGTCGATTCACCGTAAGCCTTCTGTAACATCTTCAGCGATTCGGCACACGAAATTCCATTTGCAATACAAAATTTGAGACAAATTCTTTGTTCGATCTTTTCATTCATTGTAAAAATCGCAAAACACACTTGAGATGAACTGATAAAATCGAGCACTAAATAATCACATTAAATGATGGCACTCCAACTCCACGTCAGTATAGAGGACAGTTATGCCAACTTAGCGACAAAAAGAATTTTGACAATTCCTTTAAGCGGACTTTTTAAATGATCAATTCCCGGTACTTTTTTGACCGAATGTATTTTATATATTTAAAAAAGAGATTAATAATCCAACTATTACACAATGCATATCAGCGCTGATTGTGTCACAAATTTGTTTACGTCATAAATCTTCTTTTGTAAATAAGGTACTAAATTATATTAGGTGTTGGAATTAATTCGTAGCGTTTTACAAGTGATGGGAAGTACTTTCATTAATGTATTTTTTAATGCTCATGTGAAATAAATAACATTCTTTCATTAAAAAACGCTACGAATTAATTCCAACACCTAATAATATTATACTTAAAAAAACACTTGAGATTAATAATAATATAAACAAATAAAATTTTGTGTAAATGTGCGGACACAGATATATGTCCGGTCATTGAGCATTTACTATCATATTTAGCATTTACTACCTATTTGTAAAGTTTCGATAATCTGTTTTTCTCGTATATGTATTAAATAGTAAACATTGATCTTTTTCTCTATGATTTTTCATGGATATCTTGTAATTGTCAACAGAAATTTGAGTATCCTGTGATCGAATATTCTTGAAATAGATTACTAAAATTTTTGGGAGCATGTTTATCGTTCTTGTATATCATATCAACTTTATGTTTGTGATAAATGTTGCGACATGTTTCTATAAACATAAAGTTTTCTATAATGTATACATTTTGATAAATCTTGATCTTGCTGTTTATCTTACTCGATTTTGTTATTTGTTCATTTTTGAAATCTACCCTTGACGAATACTTCATGACGAATTCTACAAATTATATATATTTTATCT